ATTCTTATATGTTGTAAGGATTGTTTACAATTTCCAAAGATAGAACAAAAAGTTTAACATAAGACTATTCCTGCATATATTCTCCAAGTATACATAATAGTTATCAATAGCTTTGTAAAGTATGCATTGCTATCTCTATTAACCTTTTGAATTAATGCATTAATCCAAAATCATTTGAGAATTAAAAATATTTGAGCAAAAGAAGGTATTAAGTGTTTCTATGTAGTCTATGTGATTACATCCAGGGGAATAAGAGTGCTAATCAATACGAACAAGAATTATATTGTTTATTTAATTAAAAAGTTTTACAAATAATTATATGGTTACACGTATGACTATACTATATTTATCAGGCTATGAATAAAAGAAAATGATATTCATTTCAAGACATTTTTTTTTCTCGCATTCTTCTAATATAAGTAATGAGACAAAAGGTATACTCTTTCTGTTTGTAGTTAATGATGAAATGTCTCTTCATAATGAAAGAAACTCAAGAGAACATTGTCTCATACTATATTTATTTGTTATTGGAAGGAGGTGAGACATCCAAAAGATGATAGAAGATGAATTTTGTAGAAGAGATATCCATCACGCTTGCAATAACTTTAAATGTTTATTATTTTTTTAAACCATGAAATAAATTACAGGTTTAAAACAATAATTTATTGATTATCATAAGAATATTTTTTTTATGATTGAAAACTATTTTTATTGTTTTATAAATTATATTTAATTAGAAGAAAGTGTTAAAAAATTTTAAGTATGAATCTAAGTTTTACATTAAATAATTAAATAATAAAAAAATTAAGTAGCATTTAGAAAAAAGGTAAGACTCATATTTTAATATTTTAAGTTTTAGAATAAAAGTGATGTCAATTAATATTTTAAGTTTTAGAAAAAAATTGATATCAATTATTTACGTGAGTTGGATTCATATTTTATACATTTTTTTTTCCTGTGAATTTCAATAAAAAAACTAAAAAAGAGTGAGTAATTTTTGTGACGAAGAAAAATAATTTTTTTTGTTTCTTCTTGTGAATTTTAATGAAAAACAAAAAAAAGTGAGTGATTTTTATGATAAAGAAATTTTGTTTTTTATATATTTCTAGAATAAAGAGGTGAAAAAGAAACATCTTAACTGAGAATGATAATCCGACAAAATTAGAATATATGAATGTGATTTATAGAGATTTATAATTATAAAAAAAATATTTTTTTATATTTTCCCAAAATATCACTATTTATCTAAAAAATGTTATAATTAATATATTTTCCCAACTGTATTTTTAACTGTCATAAATAATATATTTTTAGTGGTTATTATTGTAATTTAACAAGTCCATGTTTCATTTAAAAATAAATATTTATTGCTGTGTCATCAATGTCTGCGTACACCTTATAAATAACATAATTCGTATTTCTTGGGTATTTAAGTCAGTAACAGTAATATTAATTTTCTCTCTTTATATATCCCAAAGATCAACGTAAATCACTAAGCCACGTGGATAATTTACAACGTTTCATTCTATTATGCCTCAAATCAATAATTGGAGCAAGGAACCAAGTTACCGCACGCACATACATTGTACTCTCCGATTCAACCATTAATGTTGCATCCTTTTTAACTTTAACTTTTTTATTCTTTTCATAAATATCGTTGTTTATGAAGTAATTATATTTTTTATTTGTTATAACATATATGTTAATAACTAAAACCTATAAATAATTCTTTAAAAATATTTTGAACAGTAGTTTCTTAGTGTTCTTTTCAAAATATATCATTAATGAATATGATATTTAAATAAAATAAGAAAATAGATAAAGATAATATATTATATTGATTAATATTTAATTTTCAAGAACCATTAAAAAGATTATATTAAATTACTTTGCTATTGACAAATATATCAAATTATTTCTTATTGTTAATTCTCTTTATTATTAAAATAACTTTCGTAAAAAGGACAAATAATAAACAATATAACTACGAATTTATTTTAGTGGTAAAGATATAATAAAATAGTAAAGAAAGATATGATATTGACTAGATATTTGATAAAATTATAATATATTTGATAACCAATTTTGTATGGTTGAATTAAATAAATATCTCACAATTTTTAAAATGATATCAGAGCTAATTCTAGCGACATTGAGACATTAACTGTTAATAGTTATGGACTAAACTACCTATTATTGGACCATTTATCTTGAATATGTGGGATTGTAATTAAAAAATCCTCTTTGATATGAAAGAGTACGATGAAAATTCCTCCTCAATGTGATGAGGTGTGTTGAGAAATTTCACATCGAGTAGAAATATGATAAATTATAATATATAGGTGAAGTCTTCCAAATTGCCAGAGATAACTATATCAAATAAATAATTCATAAATACTTTATTTGTTTATGACAGTCTATGATTCAATAGATAGTATATTCATATGATATTTAACTTTACTAGAAAGTTCTCACTCATAAGTAAGTTTAGGAATACCTCTATAGTGATAGAATTTCTTGTTGCTTCTCTCCTTGAAAATCAAACTCAAAGAAAAAATAAATTGTATTTTCATGAAAAACTAAATTCGTTGTTATATACATATGATGAGTAGGATATGATAACACCTATATCCTTTTTTATGTATAGCATATCCAACAAAAATACATTGAATGACCCATGAAACCAACTTGTTGTGTTGGTGCTTGTAAAGATGAACAATTGCAACACATCCAAATGCATGAGAGGGTAAATTATGAACAAAGAGTGATAGTTAAATTATGGAATATTTCAAAAGGAGTCTTAAAATTAGTAGAACTTGAGGGAATTTGATTTATTAAATATATTGTCAAAATAAGAGTTTGTCTCTAATAACATAATGACAATTGATTATCTTGTACGATAAGTTTTTGTCCTAACTCTTGTGTTCTTAAAGATATAAAAAAATAGTCAATTTGTTTTATGTTAGAATCTTAACATGATATCATACATAACTCTAGCAATGTTGGAATATTATTCATTAATAATTATGGAATAAATCACCGGTTATCGAATTAATATTGAACCACTCATCCTTAATGTGACATGATTTGATAAAAAATTTATCCTCGATGTGAGAGGATATATTGAGAAATCTCAATTCGACTAGAAATATGATAACATTATAGTATATAGGTAAACACAATTCTCACTTTTGTAAGATGGAGTTAGATATCTCACAATTTCTTAGAGATGGTAATAAAATTATATTGTAGTTGTTTTATTGTGTTGTATGTTTTCTTTAGTCAATGAGGTTCTTATTTTATGGTTTCAAGATATGATTGTAAAAACTCAACCTTTATTATTTTTTGAAAATATTTTGTCAATAATTTGATATTCTTGATATTTTTTTTATATTCTTTTTCACTGCTTGATTTTTCTTATACTATATAACATATTTTTATTCTATGATAATATTTTAAATATGACTATTGCACATTTATTTTTTTTATGAGATTTCCTTTGTTTTACACATTATGATTTAATCACCAAATAATAAATATATCTTTTTTGTCATATTTTGATATTCACTTTATAATGCACTTTCAAAATAATTTTGTATTTAATATTCAATTGGTCTAGTATGAGATTATTAGATGATCGATATATCCAATAACTTATTTTTTATGACCCAATTAACATATAACATATGTTAAATAATTCAAAACTTAATCATATATGTTCAATTTGATGCTTGTTTTTAACAAAGGTAATTATATAATGTTTTAAAAATATTTAATATGTTACAATATAAAAAATATGTCCGATATTACATTTATATATAAAGAAGTTAAATAATTTTTTTCCCATATTTAAAAAAAAATTGTTTCACTATTATTTTTAGTATCAATTTAATCTTTTTTTTTATGTCGTCTAACGAAAAGTATCATCATATGATCAGGGTGGAGGAAGGGGACTAACGGGTCACGGTAAAAAAAAATCTTTTAAGATTTTATTAAAAAATATGTTATAATCTCCTTAAAATTTTATTTATTTAAATTAGTTTCTTGAAATTAATTTTCTTGATTTCGTCTCTAAATATAGTCATACTTACCTGTATGATGTCGAGATAGTGTTATATCATATACATATATTATGTCATCTCACACATAGGTGTCCTGTCAACAAACATGATCACATAAACTCTAACATGATCACATCAACTCTATGAGGTGCTTTTTGTTAGACAAATTAACCACTTAAAAATGATTAATTAATTCATTTAAAAAACTATTTTGACACTAAAAATATACCGAATAAAATTGAAAATAAAATAAAATAATGAGAAAACAACTATTTACCCTTAATAAAAAATAATAAGACTTGAAAACAATAAAACATCAAAAGTTTAAATATAAAATGGTAACATCTCAAGAATGGGTGGTAGAAGGTTATATAGTCAAACCACTTTTGCATATATCACAATTCATTGTCTGCAACTACCCTGGTCCCAAACCATTTAACATGGATGTATGCATCTTTGAGTGTGTCTTTTCTAAAATGAGATAATAAATGTAGGATAGATTTTGCTGTGCTTACGCTTATGATCTAAATTTCTGATGGGCTAAATTGTCTACTCCAATGCGCCGCGAGGTAGGCGTGGATGAGTGAGAACACTCAGGAGGACCACCCATAACTATACCTGTACTGTTTGTCACATAGTGAATTATCATAACTCCATAAGTCCAGCCATTTTTTTGTCCCCACATGCCATCAATGTTCAAAGTGGTCGTACTACTGAGAGGCTTAAATTGAACACATGCAGCAGCTACAGCCACACTTTTAATGCCTGATCAATTTGTCTATCTCAGTGACACATACATACACATACATAGGCATACCCCTTTCTCACCAAGGCACACAGTAGCACTACACTTTTCACCATTCTTTTGGTACTCAATCTCACCATAGTGATATTCCGTCTTGGGATATGGCTTCCTACACCCCCTCTTGATGTTGCAAAATGGGAAGGACTCCTTGCTGCAGTCACGAGGAACTCAGAAAAGGTGCATGGACGGCTCAAGAAGACCAGAAACTCGTTGCTTACATTCAGAAAAATGGCACTGGAAGCTGGCGTACCTTGCCTCAGAAAGCTGGTCAATATTTCAATTAAACCATCTTAGTCTTGTATGGTTCAGATTTAAGTAGTACATCATTGCTCTAATTTCATCATTAGGATAAGGCTATTGTTACATTATTTTGTTGATTTAGATCATGTATTTGGTTAAATAATTTACATCTTAGTATGGGTAAAGCATCATGAAACATTACCTTTGATTTGTCAGAAATCTAACATCATTAGTATATAAGTGGCCAAACTGGTTCTGGGAGATTGAATTAACTTATACTCTCTTTCTAAGTTGGTTGGAAGAGTTTAGAGACAGAGTTGTCTAGAATTAGTTTGGCTAGCATCGTTCAGTAGTTTTGCTCTTTGAGATGGCTAAATTAGGTTGAAGTTCAGTAGGGAGTATCATTTTTCGCTATTACAATGAAATGAGGGCAACTTTTTTTAGTACTTCTTGTGTACTGCAGGTCTTCAAAGATGTGGAAAGAGTTGCAGGCTGAGATGGTTTAATTACCTCCGACCAGACATTAAGAGAGGAAAATTGAGCCCAGAAGAAGAGCAGACAATCATTAAACTTCAGGCGGTTCTTGGAAACAGGTGAAAGATCTAACTGCTAATAGTTATGAATGTTTGTAGCTAGGCACCCTGCTGCACAAATTTTGCATTTAATTTGGTTTTGTTATTAATTAGAAAATTTCTATGAGTAATAACTGTTGTTTTCCATCAATCATATGTTGGTCTTCCCAATGAATAGTATAATGTAGCAATGCAGCTCAATTAATCTACTCGTTTAATTAAGAGTCCATTTGAATGAATGTTTCCTTAAGAAGATATAAAGAAAACAAAATGAACTTTATTTTATACACAAAAATTAGTTAATATATAAGTCAAAGAAACTGATAAAGAGAATTTTTACATATTAATTCATTTTAATTTATAAAGTAACCTATTTTATATGTAGATACGATCTTACTAAGTGAAAATGGTGGATAATTTTTTAATACATTGTATTTCTTTCTTATTTTTATTCCTGCTAGGTGGTCAAGTATTGCAAAGCATTTACAAGGGCGAACTGATAACGAAATCAAGAACTATTGGAACTCATATCTGAAAAGGCACTATGATCCATCGACTTCTAAACCAATTAGCACTGATGGTTCCACAGAATCAAAATCCACTGACTTGTGCAAGGTTCAATCAACGGAAACTGATTTCCATGAACCAAGTGCCACTACACCCCAATCTCATGAATCCAGCATATCAAAGTCAATGTCATCTTCAACTCAGCTTCTCAACAAAGTTGCTAGTAAAATTCTTGCATCTGGGTTACTTGAAGCAATTAAATCAGGTCAACCTGTTGTTGCTGGGAACAGCAACAGCGAAAGTATGGTGAAAACTGGAACTGAGCTAGAAAAGAACAATAATAGAGATCCCCTTGTGCCTAATTTGACCTCGTCAAGTCATTCAGTAACTTCTGCTCAGCTACTGAACAAGATGGCTACTTCACTCCCTCATAAAGTTCATGGCCTTGAATCTGTCAAAGCTATTTTTTCAAAATTGATGGAAAGTAGTGAAAAGGGTGACACTGCTAGTGATGGTAGCTTTATTAGCAGTGATCAAGTTGGAGATTGTTTGAATGCTCTGAACTCTTTTGAGGATGAACCACACATAACCGAAATGGTTGGGTCCCCTTCTAGTCCTTCACTAATATTCAATCAAGCGACCACACCCTCATGCTTTTCAGACAATGCAGATAATTGGCAATGCATTTCATCTACCAATGTTCCCTTCAGAAATGGTGCTCCAAGGGGTGGTGAGTGCAGTGTTTCTGAACTCAACTTGGGCGAGTCTTCCAGTTCAACATCGTCCTTCCTGTTTGAGAATGCTGATCTTGGAACGTGTGATGATGAAATAAGCAAGTACATTCTGTATTTGTAAGAAAAAACTTACTGAACACACCCACTGCTAATAAATGTAACGTAAGTATAAAAAAGATAATATGATGCCACAGAAAGGGAGATAGAGAGAAATAATATATTGATAGTGTTTAAGATATATAGAGATTTTTCCGTGGAGGTATTTAGCAGAGGTATCTATGTATCATCTCTCTGTTTTGTAATAAGAAACTTTATTCTTCCTTTCTGAAATTTTCTATTCCGTGAGTGGACATGATGAAAACAGAAAAAAAAAATTATATATATATATATTGAGAGAGAGAATTGAACAGACATTCATGTAAGCATGGGAATGGAATGACTATGATAAGTTTTGTTTTATTATGAAAGTTATTTTAGGGATGACAGTCTTATCTCCCTGAACACCTCAAATCCACATTCATCTTTATTTCTTAATGGTACATAGTCTAATCAAATTTAATTCTCTCTTGGCATCTTCCCCCAAAAAACCAATTCATGGGGACTCTTCCTCCAACAAGAAATCTTGATGAAATTGTTATACGAAATTGGGCACAATTTTATAAAAAAATAACCCGTTTGTTTCTCACTAAGAGATGGAAATGTACTCAATTTGTTTGAAGAAATCTTTCATTTTCTTTCATATTTTTTTTTATGAAAAAAAAATCAGTCCATATCAAATTCATATTTTTGGTTCTTTTTCAAAATTTGTGATGTTTTATAATGCATATCATATTATTTTATTAGTGTATAAACTCTCAACTTTGTATCTAAAAAGTCTAAATTAGTAAAGTCTATTTTATCTCACTTAATCCAAATAAAGAAAAGACTTCTAGGTTAGAATAGAGAGGGTAAATTTTCATAACCTTTAGAAGAGAAAAATGAGAGAACCTGTTGGCATTTTTATCGAGTTGTCTCAGTAAAATTATAATTATCGTTTATTTATCGTTAGATCAGGTTGAAATTTTCACAGAAGGTTCCCATCATATGATTTTTCATTTTACCATTGGGATCTTCAATTAAAATTTGTGGTTGGATAAATCAATCTGATACTATTGCTATATTTTAGGTTTTTCTTTCTTTATTTTTCAAATTTGAGAGCATTATTACTTTGATGTATTGATTTCTTGTAGACACTTATTTGTGCATTTGATTTTACTCTCTTCTACCCATATTTAATCTTAGTGGAGCTTGATTAATTGGCTTGAATACATAGGTTTTACTTCTCATATTGAAAAGGGTTTTTTTAACGTTAAAAGTATTGGTATTCTCTTTTATGATTATTCTTACCATTTTTTGTTGTTATTGCTCCTCACAAATTCTTGTAATTTAGGAGAATTATTTTTGTTGAATACTTTCGTATTATTGGTTGTTGTGTTGTTATTTTCCCTATCAAAATGACATCAGAGCACTTGGTTTGAGGCTATATTACTTGCTTGAATGATGGAAACAAATATAAATATGGTTGGTTTAAATGGTACAAATTATTATTTGTGAAAAAGCAAGATGAAAAACTTGTTGATTGTAAAGAAATTACATCTTCTAATTTTTGCTACCTAGAAGTCTAATTTTATGTCTCATGAAGAATAAAACTTTGAGCACCAATATGTATATGATTTTATATAGAAGATAATGTTAATAATCACATTGTTAATGAAACACATGCCAACATTTAGTGGGAGAAGATTGAGTCGTTGTATGATTTTAATTCAAGCAATAATAAATTATATTTGTTGGATTACTTAATAAATATGAGGAATATGGAGAGTTCTTCTATTTCAGATCACTTAAATGAGTTTTAAAGGCTCCTAGATCAACTGTCAAAAATGGGTATTAACTTTGATGATGCAGTTTCAAATTTTGTCCTTAACAACATTGTTTATTTCCAAATGACAAAGAGTAAGGCTCTTAATGAAGAGATGAGAAGGAACAAACATGGTTTTCATCTTAGTAACAGGTGTTTTCCTCATAAAGTAGGGGGAGAAGTCAGGAAAAGATATCCTCCTAAGTAAAAAATGGAGAATAAAGGAAAAAGAATAAGCAAAAAGAAAATGATCATGATAATAGTCGTGTTATTACTTTATGTGGTGATCTTATTTTTCTTCGTGTTATGAGTCTATCAATCTTGCATTCGATGATAACATGTAGATAACTAATAATAGTGTTACATTGCATGTTACACCAAGGAAGGAGTTCTTCACATCTTACACTTTTAGTGAATTTGAGATGGGTAATGATGGTATGTCAAAGGTTATTAGTGTTAGTGATGTTTTCTTGCAAACCAACATGAAAGTGCATTTATTATTTAAAGGAGTCAAACATACTCCAGTTGTGCGTTTTAATTTGATCTTTATACATTTACTTGATAATAGTGGTTATGACAATTACTTTCGTTCTGATAAATGGAAACTTAGTAAAGGTAACTCGGTTTTGGCTAGAAGAGAGAGAATTTCCAAATTGTATTGGACTAAATTTTGGTTGCTAAGGACAGTGTGAATTCCATATATATGGAGACATCTTTGTGGTATCCAAAGCTTGGTCATATAAGTGAAAAAAGGTTTAATTGCTTAGCTAAAAAGGAAGTGCATTTGGGATTGAAAAGTTCAAAGTTGAAAAAATGTTCTCATTATATGGTTGGTAAACAAACTAGAGTATCCTTCAAATAAAGTCAGAGTTGCTTGAATTAGTGTATTTTGATGTTTGTGGCCTATTGAAGATAAAGTTGTTTAGTGGTGTACTTTACTTTGTTACTTTTATTGATGATTGTTCTAAGAAACTATAAGTTTATGTATTATAGAGAAATGATCAAATACTTGAAAAACTAAAAAAAATTTCATATTTTGGTTGAGAGGAAATCAGGAAAGAAGAAATTGAAATGCATTTGTACTAATAAAAGTGGTGGGTATCATGGACCCTTTGATGTTTATTGCAAGTAGCAGAGTCTCAGACATGAAAAGACTCATCTACTCCTCAATTGAATGGTCTAGCGGAGAAAATGAGTAAGACTTTAGTTGAAAAAATTAGATGTATACTTTCTAAAGAAAAGTTGTCTAATCATTTTTGGGAGAGACATTACTGACAGTTGGACATGTTATTAATCTTAGTCCTGTAGTTATTTTGATATTGAGGTACTAGACAAAATCTAGTTTGGAAAAAATGTTAGCTATGATTATTTGTGCGTCTTTAGTCGCAAGGTATTTGTTGATATTTTAAATGACGAAAGATCCAAGTTAAAAGCAAAGACAAGGTATTATATCTTTATTGGTTATGGTTATGATGAATTTGGTTATAGGTTGTATGATCTTATTGGAAAGAAGATAGTCAGAAGTCGTGATGTGCAGTTCATAAAAGACCAAACCATTACAAATGTTAACATGGTGGAGAAGACCACACTCAAGGAAAATTGTAATTTCATTTATAGTAATTCTATATTGTTGTCTGTTCACAATTTGGATGATGTTGAAACTGATGCTCAAATTGATGAGTAATATGGTGATGTTGATTATCAAGAGGTTAGATGATATGGTACATGATGATGATCATGATGATGCACATTAATTATCATAAGTCCCTACCAGGAGATCCAATAGGCTGAGAAAACCGCCTTCCAAGTATTCTTTTGATGATTATGTAACCTTAACTGATGGTGGAGAACCTGAGTGTTCTAAAGAAGTTTTGAAAAGTAGAGAAAAACAAAAGTGGTTTGATGCAATGTAAGATAAAATGAAATCTTTATATGATAATCACACTTATAACTTGGTAAAATTGTATAAAGGCAAAATAACTTTAGAGAACAAGTGAATTTTCAGGGTGAAACAAGAGGTTAATTCTATATCTCCAATGTATAAAATCAAATTAGTAGTGAAAGGCTTTAGATAGAGAAAAGATGTTAATTTCAATGAGATTTTCTAGCCTTTGGTGAAAATGTTACCTATGAAAATTGTGTTAAGTTTAGTTGTTACCCTTAATTTGGAGGTTGAGAATATGAATGTGAAGACAATTTTCCTTCATGAAAATTTGGAAGAAGAGATATAAAACAACTTGATGATTTTCTTGTTGAAGGAAATAAATATTATGTGTGTAGATTAAGAAAGAGTCTACATAGTTTGAAGAAGACTTCAAGATAATGGTACAAAAGATTTAAATATTTTATGTATGATCGAGATTACAAAATGAATACTTCTGATCATTATGTCTTTGTTAGAAATTTATTTGATAATGACTTTATTATCCTATTGATGTATGTTGATAACATACTTATTATTGGAAAAAATATTTTTAGATCCAAACATATTGATGTGAAGTATTATTAGATACGTGATGTTTTAGATGTTAAGTTATTGGAGTTGGATAAAGTTTATACTAATGACAATGATGTTAATATGATTATTAAGGCACTATTAAGGCTGAAGTTTAAAACTTGTTGTAAGATCATCGGATTGGTGTATTAAGTTAGACTCTCAATTATGTGTCTAAAATATCCAAACTATCAAACATATTTTATCTTACTTAACGTAAGTGGAGAGGTTTCTTCTAGATTAGAATATAGGGTGGATTTTTTTCAATCTTTGGTGGAAGAAAAAAAGAAGAGAAAACTAGTTGACATATTTATTAATCTACCTCAATAAAATTATGATTCTCGCTTTGTTTATCGTTTGATCAAACTAAAATTTCGACACTAGATTCGCGATATATATTTCTTCATTCTTTACTTTTGGGATAGTCAATTTGAGGTTTTTGGTTAGAGAAATCAGTATTGTACTATTGTTGAATGTTAAGTTTCTCTTTGTTTTTAAAATTTAACAGTATTATTATTTTGATGTATTGGTTGCTTGTAAACATTTATTTATGCATTTTATTAGACTCTCTTATATGTACATTTGATCTTAATGGAATTTGATTGATTGACTTGTACTTATATGTTTTTATTTCTCATATTGAAATGATTTTTCTAGCTTCAAAATATTGGTATTCTCTATTATAATTGTTCTTGTCATTTTTTATTATTGTTGTTTCTCACATATT